CCACCTTGCCGTTAAACACTCCCAGGGAGGGGCCATCCCCAGCCTCTCTGGGCAGCCTGTTCCAGTGCCTCACCACCCTCACAGTAAAGAATTTCTTCCTAATATCTAATCTAAAACTACCCTCTTCCAGTTTAAAGCCATTACCCCTTGTCCTATCACTACAGGCCCTTGTCAGAACTCTCCAGCTTTCTTGTAGGCCCCCCTCAGGCACTGGAAGGCTGCTATAAGGTTACATTAAAAGTGCTGGTATTAGGAGCAGCGAGGCTGCCTTGGTGAGTCACACTTTGTTCCAAGCTTTAATCGGTATCCAGGATTTGAAACATGTCCTAAGTGCCCAACTCGAGATTCCTGGACAGAACTTTCCAACAAGTTAATTATCTCCTGCTCTGAAATCAATGGGTGCTTTGGTTTTCCCTAGCACTGATGAGAACCAGGATCTTTGAACAGCCACAGAGAACTCTGGTATCCACAGTCTGTGAGCGTTTTAAAGCCAAATTATTTTTCTCTATACATTCCTCACTATTCTTCTGCATGAAATGAGGATCCTACTCCCATGCAGGGATGTAACAATAGAATTCATATTCTACTATAAAAATATTATTAAAAGGGTGGTAAACAGATCTAGGAGTGGCTGGAATTTAGACCTAGAGAGTCAATTAATTATCAAGCATTTCCCCTTCTTTTCCCAAAATAAATGCACACATTTCTTCTCTAATTTAGTTGCCAGAACAATCAGCTGCAACTCTTTAAAATTCATAAGCATGGAATCATGGAATCATAGCTTGGAAAAGACCTCTAAGATCATGAAGTCCAACCATCCACCCAACACCACCATGCCTACTAAACCAATCACCAAGCAGCTGGTGAAATAGTTCTTAGTTAATAATTAAATATACTCCTGACCAAAGGTCCCAGTAGCCCTGTTCATTTTTATGGTGTTGTTCAGGAGCCTTTAAATTTGCTGCATTTGGAATCAAAAGTCTGCAGCTGCTTGTGGCAAAACTTTGAATACAGATTTCCATGATAAAATATAAGCTTATAAATAACAAATGGATCAAATCTGAAATTTCACTATCCCGTTTTGAAGTTCATTGCAAGAATAGATCCTAAACAGATTAAACATCTGTAATTGTGTATTAAACCATCGAATTTTAAAGCTGGGTTTCTCTTCCACCATATTCATGTTTCTAACCCCTGTATCTTCTTCTACATTAAGAAGCTTCTGAATGGCTGTGTGGGTGTCCCATCCCCAATTTCTGCCTTACCTGTCATGTTTATACTTGACAGTATTAAGTGAATACATTAAATACAGATTTTAAAATACTTTGGCACCAGATGACTATTTCTCATAAAACAGCTGTCACCCCAGAGATGAAAACAGTTTCATTACAGCAGGTAGAATATGTATCTCCTCTAAGCTGTGAATTGCCTCTGGTGTCTGAGATTTCTGGCTTTCCCCAACAAGAAAATGCATGCACAGTTCCTTGGAAAGTTCATCAGTTTCCTCATGGCAGGTCTGCTGATCTCTAAAAACTGATGGAAAATCAGTTCAATTAATTAGTTTTAGAAGAGCGAAGTATTCCAAAGGACTGGCTCAAAGAATTAATCACGAATTAATATATTCACAAGTATACTAACTGTAGAATAAAATAAATGGCTTGAAATTGGTGTCATGCAAATATTGCGTGAGAGAATTAGGTAAGTGGCATTTTTCATAGAAACCGAACTGGAAAGAATCTTGCTAAATACAGCACAGGTTTTTACAACCGTAGAATCATAGAATGGTTTGGGTTGGAAGGGACCTTACAGGTCATCTAATTCCAACCCCCCTGCCATGGGCAGGCACACCTGCCACTAGACCAGGTTGCCCAAAACCCCATCCAACCTGGCCTTGAACACTTCCATGGAGAGGGCATCCACAGCCTCTCTGGGCAGCCTGTTCCAGTGCCTCACCACCCTCACAGTAAAGAATTTCTTCCTAATATCTAATCTAAAACTACCCTCTTCCAGTTTAAAGCCATTACCCCTTGTCCTATCACTACAGGCCCTTGTCAGAACTCTCCAGCTTTCTTGTAGGCCCCCCTCAGGCACTGGAAGGCTGCTATAAGGTTACATTAAAAGTGCTGGTATTAGGAGCAGCGAGGCTGCCTTGGTGAGTCACACTTTGTTCCAAGCTTTAATCGGTATCCAGGATTTGAAACATGTCCTAAGTGCCCAACTCGAGATTCCTGGACAGAACTTTCCAACAAGTTAATTATCTCCTGCTCTGAAATCAATGGGTGCTTTGGTTTTCCCTAGCACTGATGAGAACCAGGATCTTGGAACAGCCACAGAGAACTCTGGTATCCACAGTCTGTGAGCGTTTTAAAGCCAAATTATTTTTCTCTATACATTCCTCACTATTCTTCTGCATGAAATGAGGATCCTACTCCCATGCAGGGATGTAACAATAGAATTCATATTCTACTATAAAAATATTATTAAAAGGGTGGTAAACAGATCTAGGAGTGGCTGGAATTTAGACCTAGAGAGTCAATTAATTATCAAGCATTTCCCCTTCTTTTCCCAAAATAAATGCACACATTTCTTCTCTAATTTAGTTGCCAGAACAATCAGCTGCAACTCTTTAAAATTCATAAGCATGGAATCATGGAATCATAGCTTGGAAAAGACCTCTAAGATCATGAAGTCCAACCATCCACCCAACACCACCATGCCTACTAAACCTTTTTTTCCATAAACCACATCTACATGTTTTTTGAACACCTCCGGGGATGGTGACTCAGCCACCTCCCTGGACAGCCTGTTCCAGTGTCTGACCACTCCTTCAGTAAAGAAATTTTTCCTAATATCCAATCTAAACCTCCCCTGACGCAACTTGAGGCCATTGCCTCTCGTCCTATCGCTAGTTACCTGGGAGAAGAGACCAACACCTGCCTCACTACGACCTCCTTTCAGGTAGTTGTAGAGAGCAATAAGGTCGCCCCCTCAGCCTCCTCTTCTCCAGACTAAACAGCCCCAGTTCCTTCAGCCACTCCTCATAAGACTTGTTCTCCAGACCCCTCACCAGCCTCATTGCCCTTCTCTGGACACGCTCCAGCCCCTCGATGTCCTTCTTGTAGTGAGGGGCCCAAAACTGAACACGGTAGTTGAGGTGCAGCCTCACCAGGGCCGCGCACAGGG